ATGCAACTGCTCCCCACCTGATGACCAAGGTTCAGGCTGTTCCCGGCTAACAATCCCGGAGCAGTGAGAGTCCTGAAAATACAGACCAGGAAGAGATAAGAGCTCGAGTGTCTGAGAGCGAACCGAGAGCGAGGCCAACCCAAGAGAGGGGTGACCCATAGAGAGAGAGAGGAAACTTCTGCAAACTTCCAGACAGAGCCTCATCTATATACTGGGCATGATGTGCATGATACGGAATATACCATTGGCTTATTTGTGTCTCAATCCTAAAACCAAGGTTGAATCCTAGGCTAGTAATGGGGGCTGTGCTCCCTCCCAGCTTCTCCTGCACCTGCAGACACTGGCACAGCAGAGAAGCTGAAAAGTCCTTGACTGTCCTGGCAGCAACTATAAACATCAGTATGCTGTCAGCCTTCGTTTCAGCACAAATCCAAAACACAGCCTCTTACTAGCTACTATGAAGAAAGTTAACTCTGTCCCAGCTGAAATGAGGAAAAATCTCAATAAAAACAGGTAAGTCAGTGCAATTGGTAAAAGAATGGAACCTCCTTCCATTCTTGGCTTACAGGAAAGCTGGGAAGGGACTTTTTACAAAAGCATGTAGTGACAGGATGAGGTGTAATGGATTTAACCTGGAAGAGGGTCAATTTAGACTAGATTTTACGAAGAAATTCTTTACTGTGAGGGTGGTTAGACAGTGGAACAGGTTGCCCAGAGAACCTGTGGATGCCCCAGCCCTGGAGGTGTTCAAGGCCAGGCTGGATGAGGCTTTGAGCAACCTGGTCTGGTGGAGGGTGTCCCTGCCCATGGCAGGGGGGTTGGCACTAGATGATCTTTAAGATCTCTTCTGTCCCAAACCATTTTATGATTCTATGTCTGAATTAATTTCAGTTGCTGCACAAGAATATCTTGGTGCTTTAAACTACCCTTCAGACTGAAGTAAAGATTTTTAAAAATATTTCTGCTTTAATAATAAATAACTTCAAAAATATTTTGAAGTATTTTTTCTGAAATTATGAAGGAGTTTGATCTTAATCTGAAGGAGTCCTTTGTACACCGTACTGTTTTCAATGTATCAAGGAGAAGTTTGTGGGACACCCCAACGAGTCTGGGAGAACAGCAAGGCTTTTGGCTTCACAAAGCCAAGTGTTCTGCTTTGCGCCCTCTTGTATCTGCTAGCAAGGAGCTGGAGATGGTCCGTTGTGACAACAAAGTGCAAAAAAACCAATAGGTCATTAGAAAGACAAAGACAGACCTCGACTGGGGAGAAATGGACTGGCAAATGGTATCTGTGAGCTGGAGGTGGTCCGTTGTGACAACAAGGTGCAAAAAAAAACAATAGGTCATTAGAAAGACAAAGACAGACCTCGACTGGGGAGAAATGGACTGGCAAATGGTATCTGTTACCCAGACATCTTTTTCCCTCCAGTATGACTATTCTGCATCTGCTTTCCCTGTGAATCAGAGTTCTTCCCTACAGTGGCATCTATGACGCTCCAGCTAAATGTTGTCCCTTATGTGTTTTATTTTCAATTCTGTACAGGTGCGAAAGACAATACTACCTGAATTTGCAATTGATATTTATTCTTTTATTTTGCTGCAGAAAAATATGCAGCACTGAAAGTGGAGGAGTTGAAACCCACCCAAGAATGCTGGAGAAATTTCTCATTACCAGCCCTGAGGCATTTCAGGCATTTTGTTTTTTAACTGCCATAAACTGAAAAATATAGAAGATGGATCACAATGCAATATAGACCTAGTGGGAAAATAAAGCAAGAAATGAAATGATCTATATCAAATATGGAATGGCAGGTAACAAGGCAGAACTACGTATATAGGCTAAGTGTCTGCGTGTATAAATTTGAAAAGAACTGAAATTAGAGACAGCAACAACCAACCAAACAACAGATTATGATCAACAGTCCAGTATATCTTTAATTACAATTAGATGTTTTAATTTAGCTGAGAGTTAAATAGCACTATTCCTGGTTCAAAAGTTCATAATTAATAAAAAACAATTAAAATGCATCACTCTTGTTAATGTCTTGGGAGATCTATGAAATATAGACATAAAAAAAAATAAGTAATATCATCATACCCTCTGCATAAAAAAACAGTATTTCCTACTCTATTGTATTCTTCATGCACCAGAGACAAATTTTGAAATTATAAAGGACTTAAAAGCTGAAACTTTTGCACTTCTTTTTGTGGACCAGTTAGTGATAGCACCTCATCCAGATTATTTATTCCAGATTTTACCAATGCACAGTGATATAAAATGCAGGACAGACTGGTAAATTATATGCTGCTTTAGAAAGTGGAGTTTAAATGATCTGACCTTCAACTTTATGAATTGGTTTTTGTCTGTTTCAAGTTCAAGGAATTAGGTAACATAATTCAAACAAAGGTGTGTACGTGTGAACTGAATACCAATCAACTGAAGAAATTTTGTAAGAATTAAAGGCTTTAAAACATTGTTTCAGTAACTGTTACACATTGGATATTTGGGACAAATAGAGTAGTCTGAAAATCACTCAGAAGCAAATTTATTTGCTGCGTATTTGGAACAATACTAGAATTCTTAAAGAAAAAGACTCTATAGGACTAAAGCAAGAATTAATTGCAATTGTGGACTGATTTAGAAGTTGAGTATTTTTATTCTTCCTGAAGAAATTCAATAAAAGTTTTCAAACATTTCTGAAACAACTTAGGAAGTTAAGTCACTTACTTGAAAAGAGACTTTGAGAGGTGATATGTGTGTATCCCATCTGAAATGTTTCTGTTCATTGAACGGTCTTCTATCTTGAAAAACAAATTTTGAAGCATTGGTGGTTTTCTTTTCTTTTCTTTTCTTTTTTTTTTTTTTTTTTTTTTTTTTTTTTGTGGCAAGCCCTATTTAGATATTCTCTGTATACCCACTCCTCTGTTCCATGTTGCATTTTACTACATCTTGATGTGTGGATTAAAGCACTGAAATGTATTTTAGAAAAAACCACCAGCTGGGAAAAGGAGATAATATGGTAGACATAAAACAGGTTGAATGCTTCAGATAGGTTTCAGTTTTAGAGGAAAATGATTGCATTAGCAGTTGAAAAAATGAATATGTGGTGACAGACAGCTGCAATGCTCTTCAAAAGCAAACAGCTCCTGTGAGAGTTTGGCAAACTGCTGTTCTACATCAAGATAATGAAGGCAAAGTGTTGGCTGTGGGTTTTTTGGTTTTGCTGTGGAATTTTTTTCGCCTGTATTTAAAAACAAGGTAGAACAATATTCTAACTTGATGTTTTATATTTGCCCGCTCTTATTTCATTTACAGGAATTCCCAGATTCTCTGAAAGAACAGACCTATCTGAAAGAATGGCACGTGTCCAATACATTGATACAAACCATTCCAGCCTACATTGCATTATTTCAAGATCTGAGAGTACTGGAGTTGCCAAAAAATCAAATCAGCTGTCTCCCAGTGGAAATTGGTATGTTGGTTCAACATATTCAGCTATTTATACTTATGCCATTTAACTATATTGCAGGGAAATTAGTGTCTGTGGATATTCTTACTCATTTACTGATAATTTTCTTCATACTTGTTTCCAGTAAACAGTGCCCTCTAAATTTTTACAGCTCTCTGGCTGTAATTATACTTGCCGAATTGTATGCAATACCATGTGTGTAGTATGGCACAAACATGGGAAAAAAAAGACATATGACTATAAGGCAGTAATTGTATTCAAGTAGATGGAGAGTTCTTCCTGAGAACATGTGGTGTTTTATATTCTTTACAGGTTAGGATAATTGTAAACCTCAAAGAAGATGAATTAAAACATAAGATTGTGTTAAAAAGGAATAAAAAATAATGTTGCAAAAAATCCATCTTCTGAATTTTACGATGAGCTCAGTAATGATCCCCATTTAATAAATTGGTATATCCAACATGACATCAGGGTTTTTAGAGAAACAAGTTCTTAACGCTTACCTACTTTGGCCTTTGCTATTTTAAACTACATAATAACAAGAGTTTCAGTGTTTGGCTCTCCTGTGTTTTCTGATCTTACAGTACAAAAAGCTGGTCTGAAAGACTGCAATGGTTTGAGAGAGATTTACGGCTCTTATAAAGAAGAGTGTTACTATAGCCTTTGAGAGCTGAAGAAATGGAGTCCACTATGAAGCCCCTGTAGCTGAGTCCATGCACCCAAGTATACTAATACTTCAGCTTTCATTTTTAAATTCAGTAGTCCTAAGCTCTCCCAATGGCTGGTATTCCTCGTGTACACTAAGAGTTAACAACTTTGAAAAAAACGATAGAGATTTGAACTTCCACCTCCATAGTTTTTATAGCTTTAACTAAGAAAAACAGGAAGAGAGAGAGGGAGCATCCCGCAACACAGAAATCAGTGCTAGACTTTTCTACTCGTATCTACTCTTTTTCTACTCTATTAATAGCGTAACACTAATGCTTTTGATTCATTTACTAACATATTTTACACAGAAATTTTCCCACTGACATTGAGATATATTTTATAGTTTCAACATGGCAGATAAATACACTAACAAATCATAAATAAGACACAAGCAGGAGATAATGGACATAAAATAAATACTAACTCATTGTCAGCACTTTGACTGTGGAACTCAGAGGGGTCAGTGAGTTTCATGGTCAAATACCTTTTACCAGGTGATGTGGAAGAAAGCGGAAAGGGCAGAGTTCCCTTCTAGAGTTTACCCTAAACCATTAAACGTTGTTTTAAGGGGTTGCTTCTTAACAAACAAGGCAGGTAAAGGCTAGGAAAGATTTTTTCTTTCTTCTTGTAATATTATGAATTGTTAATGAAAATGATCCTGAAGAAAAAGTGATTATGAATGCTAATAAAGTCTGTTTCCAGAATAAAGGCACAAAACCAGATCATTCTACGTAACCAATTCTCAGTAGAGGGTAATGTAAGGCCATATCAGACCTTTCTTGGGAAACAAGGAAGAAAGTTTCAAATGCTTCTAGTAGCAATCACTCTTCTTTCAATTACATTTAAACTGTGTGATCTCTGCTCATCAGTAGCTTTTATGTTATTCCCAGTTATTCATTTTCCCTCCAATATGATCATCCCTCTAGCTTATACCCAAGGTGTTGCTTTCTTCCTTTCAGTATTTCTGCTGCTGCTTTTTATGTAAATATTTGACTGGAAAGCCCAATGAATATCAGAAAACTGTTTGCTGTAGGTCCTGCTAGAGACACGATGTTCTAGCACTCACCATCCTCCTCTTAACAGTGAACTCTTCTTCAGATTTTTTTTTGTTTCTAGATTCACTAAATGAGAGCTGGAATGACTGTACCAAACACTCATCTGGAGAAACCTGGATTTGAACCTTTCTTTTTGAGACACTGCATACCCAAATTAACAAATTTGGCTAGCCATAGATGCTAGTTATGCAATAATTCTACATCACAGCAGTAATTCCAGCATATCCAGACAAAGACACAGATTCATCCATCTAATTTAAAAAGAAATAATACAAAAAAAAACCACTCCAGGACTGTGAACTGAACTGTTCAGCACTTTTCAGTCTTAGTGAGTGTCCTATGTTGATAGACTGCCTACGAGCAATAGAGCTGCCCTTGTTGTTATGGCATAAATTACAGAGAAGTTTTAAACTCAGTTTGTAGAAGGCTCTCTTTGTTGATGTGGGAGATGGTATTCTTGCAAATGGCTATGCCTTTACTTCATGTACTATGTATTCATACAGACATAGACACTAATATGTATTGGAAACGTTCATTATTTTAATAAGACATTATTATGAAGTGTCTTGGATATTTTGAAGTTTTTGGATGCTGCTTCAAAATGAAACATTTCATGCTTTAGTCATCTAGCTGCTAAATTATCACAGGGAAAATAATCAATATGGGTTTGGTCTGGGAGCTCTGTCTAAGCAAGGAGTGAGGTCTGGGTGTTAAATCAGAAGGTAAGGTCTCTGGAAAGGTTAAGTGATAAGGTATTCATCATTTTGTGTTCTGTTTACAAAACAGCAGCAAGCAGGTAAATATCACAGCTAAAATATACTTGAGAGTAATGACAGATGGTTGAAGTTGGCAGTGACACCTATTCTGTTGAGTCTTCAATCTTCAGACAGAATTGAAGCCAAGTTTAGACCAACAAATCATCCAGCAGAAGCTAAACTGGTGAGCCATGTTCAGACTGCTTTTGATTCTCACAAGAGGGCTTTAAAAGTGTGATAGAACAGGAGATAATAAGAATACTTTCAGTGAAAAAAGATATTGCTGCAGAAGCAGTCTCTGAACTGAGATATCTGCAGGAACCAAAATTCATGCTCCTGTTTTACCTGATTTTGAATGGAATGCTCTACCCTGAGTCAGAGAGAAAAAAGAATTATATCCATTCTCAGATATTTCAAATCACACTCTTAGTTGTAATCACCTATGGACTCGAACAGATCAAATTTGGATCTGGGAACTCCTTTGATTTGATTCTTTTAGTGAAATAGCAAATATTTTCATGTGAAGAAAGTAAACAAAAATGGAGAAAACTGCAAAATGGGGTTGTTGTCTGTCTCAAAGTTGTCAGATCTGGTTTTTCCAGGAATAATCGAAAAAAATTACGAGCAGGGGTATAGCCGGGGGTTTTTCTTTGGCAATGGTTTCTGGGTGAGTTTGCAGCTCTGGCTCTGACTGCACGGCTGCAGTGCAGTCTCTGTGTATCAGTTAGTGCTAGTACGTTAGTAATTGCTATGATTGAAAATATCCAGTAGGATATATTCCCATGTTCACATATGAAGTAATGAACGGCATTTTCATGTGATCCCAAAGCTTTTGTGCTGGGATTGGATAGTGAGGCTCTATCAGGATTTTTTGTCCCACAGATTATTTGTGAAACATCTCAAAAAACTCTTAATAAAACTTTTATATCTCATTATGTTCTCTCACACTTTCGATATACCAAATTTAAGAGGAAAAATAACTATGCTTTTGAGGTGTATTTTAGTAAGAAATCACAGAGATTTTTTTGGTTTCCTCCCTACGTCAGAGTATATGATTTCATTTGTGCATAACATTAATCCAATTTCCTAGAACTCACTGGGGGAAAACTATAAGTAATACAGTTTTAAATGACTTCTAGATGCCTAAAACAGGTTTTTCTATTAATAATATTCCCAGTGTGCTGATGTGTGAGTTTCCAAGAAGAAAATACATATTCTCAATGTAAATGTAGTATAGCTCTGAGGAGTTGCAGACTCATCTCTTACCCTTGCCATTTATTCAGTATTGAATGTTATCTGTCCAACAGCTCAGTCTTACATACAACTGAGAAAAATTTTATTTATATTCCCCGTTTGAAGGGGGAGTATTAAACACCTCTGTTACAAGTGACTGTTTTTAGAAAGGTACCAGTTGCTTTAAGGCTAGCTGCTCAAATTATGGTTCGCTCATACTGGAACAGCTGGTAAGCTCCTGAAAATTTAACCCTTGGTTAGTGCATCCCAAAAGTACAAAACTATACTTTTTACTGGATGAACTAGAGGAAAAACAATCTTTTTTATTCATCTGCTTAATTTATCAAAAATGGGAATATTGTACTAAAATGTAATACAAACATAGAGCTTTAACAAATTTCAACATAATTGGATCTTGCAAAGGCCAGGACTTTATTAAGCTGAATTTCTTGGAAGGATTTTAAATAGTGCCATTGGGTACTGGGCTCAGACTGTAAACACTGCCATGGTAACTACTCATTACAAAAATTATTTTTGCCAAAAGATTCCTATCTATTGTCTTTCTCATATTGCTTTAGGTAACTATATATATAACAATATTAGAACACTCTCCTTCTACACAGAGAAGAATAGTATTAGCAGACTCTGTGGTTTATTTGTCAGTTTTCACTTGGGTCACAGTAAGTGGTGGAGGCTTTGCACACCATTCTGCTTATGATGGAAGAGTTTTATCCAAGAAGAAGTTTTTTTCAGTTTCCAAGGTGATCAAAATGTATTGTTCTACTCTTCCCAAATAATTTATTTCATGTTTACTTCTGATGTTCAGAAAGTGTTTTCTAGCTTGGAAACTGAGCTTATACTCTACTTTGTACCTGTGAGATACACTTTTTTTTCTGGGATCCCCATGGAGACCAGAGTCCATGTTTCAGCTTATCTGCTCACATGAAAAAAGGAAGTCACACACTTTTACATAGAATTTCTGATCTAGCAAAATATCTTTCATTCAGCTCATATTATTTTTATTTTAATTTGTTTTTATTTTAATTAATTTCCTTTTCAGCCCTTTCAGTAGATGTTCACCCAACATTATTTTCCCCTAAGGTATCTCTCTCTACCTTTCAGCCCACAAGAACTTCTTCATGTTTTTCTGCCTCTCCTCTGTTACAAGAGAACCTCTTTTTTTACACCCCTTGCATTGTACTTGTGCTCTTCTGACCACAGACTGAGATCCCAAGCTTTATCCTTCTTATTT